ACACACACTGACACACACACACTAACACACACTGACACACACACACTCACACTGACACACACACACACTGACACACACACACACTGACACACACACACTGACACACACACTGACACACACACACACACTGACACACACACACTGACACACACACACTGACACACACACACACACTGACACACACACTGACACACACACACACTGACACACACACACACACTGACACACACACACACTGACACACACACACACTGACACACACACACACTGACACACTGACACACACACACTGACACACACACACAGACTGACACACACTGACACACACACACTGACACACACACACTGACACACACATACTGACACACACACACTGACACACACACACACACACTGACACACACACACACTGACACACACACACACTGACACACACACTGACACACACACACACTGACACACACACACTGACACACTGACACACACACTGACAACACACCACACACACACTGACACACACACACACTGACACACTGACACACACACACTGACACACACACACACACTGACACACACACACTGACACACACACACACACTGACACACACACACACTGACACACACACACACACTGACACACACACACACTGACACACACACACACTGACACACACACACACTGACACACACACACACACTGACACACACACACACTGACACACACACACACTTACACACATACACACACACACACACACACATACTGACACACACACACACACTGACACACACACACTGACACACACACACACACACTGACACACACACACTGACACACACACACACTGACACACACACACTGACACACACTGACACACACACACACTGACACACACACACACACTGACACACACACACACTGACACACACACACACACTGACACACACACACACACACTGACACACACACACACACACTGACACACACACACACTAACACACACACACACACTGACACACACACACACACACTGACACACACACACACACTGACACACACACACTGACACACACACACACACTGACACACACACACTGACACACACACACTGACACACACACACACTGACACACACACACTGACACACACACACACTGACACACACACACACACTGACACACACACACACTGACACACACACACACACACTGACACACACACACTGACACACACACACACTGACACACACACACTCACTGACACACACACACTGACACACACACACACACACTGACACACACACACACTGACACACACACACACTGACACACACACACACACTGACACACACACACACTGACACACACACACACACTGACACACACACACACACTGACACACACAACACACACACTGACACACACACACACTGACACACACACACACACTGACACACACACACACACTGACACACACACACACACTGACACACACACACACTGACACACACACACTGACACACACACACACTGACACACACACACTGACACACACACACTGACACACACACACACACTGACACACACACACACACTGACACACACACACTGACACACACACACACACTGACACACACACACACTGACACATACACACACTGACACACACACACACACTGACACACACACACACACACTGACACACACACACACACTGACACACACTGACACACACACACACTGACACACACACACTGACACACACACACACACACTGACACACACACACACTGACACACACACACACTGACACACACACACTGACACACACACTGACACACACACACACACTGACACACTGACACACACACTGACACACACACTGACACACACACACTGACACACACTGACACACACACTGACACACACACTGACACACACACACACACTGACACACACACACTGACACACACACACACACTGACACACACACACACTGACACACACACACTGACACACACACACACTGACACACACACACACACTGACACACTGACACACACACTGACACACACACTGACACACACACACTGACACACACTGACACACACACACACTGACACACACACACACTGACACACACACACACACTGACACACACTCACTGACACACACACACACACTGACACACACTCACTGACACACACACACTGACACACACACACACACACTGACACACACTCACTGACACACACACACACACTGACACACACACACTGACACACACACACACTGACACACACACACACACTGACACACACTCACTGACACACACACACACTGACACACACTCACTGACACACACACACTGACACACACACACTGACACACACTCACTGACACACACACACACTGACACACACTCACTGACACACACACACTGACACACACACACTGACACACACTCACTGACACACACACACTGACACACACACACTGACACACACACACTGACACACACTCACTGACACACACACACACTGACACACACACACTGACACACACACACACACTGACACACACTCACTGACACACACACACACTGACACACACACACTGACACACACACACACTGACACACACTCACTGACACACACACTGACACACACACACACACTGACACACACACTGACACACACACACACACTGACACACACACACTGACACACACACACACTGACACACACACACACACTGACACACACACACACTGACACACACACACTGACACACACTCACTGACACACAGCGCGCGCGTTCCGCGCCACGCGAGTCATGCTGCCGCCCACGCGCACGGCATGAATGGGACAGGGGAGGGAGGGTGGGGGCAGGGGGGGGCAGGGGGAGCGAGATGGAGAGAGGGAGCGAGATGGAGAGAGGGGGAGAGATGGAGAGAGGGAGCGAGATGGAGAGAGGGAGCGAGATGGAGAGAGGGAGCGAGATGGAGAGAGGGAGCGAGATGGAGAGAGGGAGCGAGATGGAGAGAGGGAGCGAGATGGAGAGAGGGAGCGAGATGGAGAGAGGGAGCGAGATGGAGAGAGGGAGCGAGATGGAGAGAGGGAGAGAGATGGAGAGAGGGAGCGAGATGGAAAGAGGGAGCGAGATGGAGAGAGGGAGCGAGATGGAGAGAGGGAGCGAGATGGAGAGAGGGAGAGAGATGGAGAGAGGGAGCGAGATGGAGAGAGGGAGCGAGATGGAGAGAGGGAGCGAGATGGAAAGAGGGAGCGAGATGGAGAGAGGGAGCGAGATGGAGAGAGGGAGCGAGATGGAGAGAAGGGAGCGAGATGGAGAGAGGGAGCGAGATGGAGAGAGGGAGCGAGATGGAGAGAGGGAGCGAGATGGAGAGAGGGAGCGAGATGGAGAGAGGGAGCGAGATGGAGAGAGGGAGAGAGATGGAGAGAGGGAGAGAGATGGAGAGAGGGAGCGAGATGGAGAGAGGGAGAGAGATGGAGAGAGGGAGAGAGATGGAGAGAGGGAGCGAGATGGAGAGAGGGAGCGAGATGGAGAGAGGGAGAGAGATGGAGAGAGGGAGAGAGATGGAGAGAGGGAGCGAGATGGAGAGAGGGAGCGAGATGGAGAGAGGGAGCGAGATGGAGAGAGGGAGCGAGATGGAGAGAGGGAGCGAGATGGAGAGAGGGAGCGAGATGGAGAGAGGGAGCGAGATGGAGAGAGGGAGCGAGATGGAGAGAGGGAGCGAGATGGAGAGAGGGAGCGAGATGGAGAGAGGGAGCGAGATGGAGAGAGGGAGCGAGATGGAGAGAGGGAGCGAGATGGAGAGAGGGAGCGAGATGGAGAGAGGGAGCGAGATGGAGAGAGGGAGCGAGATGGAGAGAGGGAGCGAGATGGAGAGAGGGAGCGAGATGGAGAGAGGGAGCGAGATGGAGAGAGGGAGCGAGATGGAGAGAGGGAGCGAGATGGAGAGAGGGAGCGAGATGGAGAGAGGGAGCGAGATGGAGAGAGGGAGCGAGATGAAGAGAGGGAGAGAGATGGAGAGAGGGAGCGAGATGGAGAGAGGGAGCGAGATGGAGAGAGGGAGCGAGATGGAGAGAGGGAGCGAGATGGAGAGAGGGAGCGAGATGGAGAGAGGGAGCGAGATGGAGAGAGGGAGCGAGATGGAGAGAGGGAGCGAGATGGAGAGAGGGAGCGAGATGGAGAGAGGGAGAGAGATGGAGAGAGGGAGCGAGATGGAGAGAGGGAGCGAGATGGAGAGAGGGAGCGAGATGGAGAGAGGGAGCGAGATGGAGAGAGGGAGCGAGATGGAGAGAGGGAGCGAGATGGAGAGAGGGAGCAAGATGGAGAGAGGGAGCGAGATGGAGAGAGGGAGAGAGATGGAGAGAGGGAGCGAGATGGAGAGAGGGAGCGGGAGGAGGATGAGGAGGATGTATTTTGACAGCGTGCAAGGTTCTGTTTGTGAGACGGCGAGGCGACGGCTCTGCCGGCAACGGGCGAGAGGGAGGAGAGTGGAATGAGAGAGGGACAGTGGAAATGGAGGGTGGAGAGTGGGAGGAGAGAGAGAGAGAGAGATGGAGAGAGGGTGGAGAGTGGGAGGAAAGAGAGAGAAGGAGAGAGAGAGAGAGATGGAGGGAGGGTGGAGAGTGGGAGGAGAGAGAGAGAAGGAGAGAGAGTGTGAGGGTGCAGATGGAGGCAGGAGAGTGGGAGCGAGGAGAAACGAGGGAGGAGTAAATGAGGAGTTGGAGGAGGGAGACGGCCGGGAGGAGATGAGGGAGGGAGCGTGAGAGAGGAAGGGAGGCGATGAGGGTGGTGGTGGCAGCAAAGGGAGGGAGAGTCGGTGGTTTTGGGGGGGGGTGGAGGTGGGGAGGGAGAGCGAGAGAGCGGAGGAGGCGGGGCTCACAACTCTACGTTTCGCTCCGCTTCCCCCCCCACTCTTCTCTCTCTCTCGTTCTCTCACCCCCCACCACCACCACCCACCACCGCCCCCCCCCCTCCCCACCAATGCGCGCGCGCGCGCGCCCCGGACCAATTAGGCGGAGTTCAGTTATTAAGGCGCAGATCAATGAGACTGAAGGCACAGCAGCGGGGAGAGAGCGAGCGGTCGCGCGCGCCGCCGTAGCGGATTTACCCGCGCGGGACTCTTCGAACGCAGCAGCAGCAGCCAGCAGCAGCAGTAGCAGCAGTAGCAGCATCAGCAACAGCAGCAGCAGTAGCAGCAGCAGCCACCTCTTCCTGCACACCTGGGATTGTGACACGCGGCGGACCCCACCTTCTCCTCCACCTCCTACTCCTCCTCCTCCACCCCCCCCCACTCCACCTACTTCGATAACTCATAACTCTGACTGCTGCCCGGACAGCTGCACCCCACCCCCCACTCACCCAGCCACCCACCCACCGCCTCCTGGCCACCGTCGCTCTCGGCAGAGCGCGGCGCCGTGCAAGTGACCACGTCCCGCGCACCTGGATTGCGGACCGCCGACTCCACCTCGTCCACCATCTCCTCCTCCACCACGTACTCCACCTCCTCGTCTTTCTCAAACTATTACCGCTAAGGGTGCCCACTAGCTTCCTCCGTCTCATCCGACAACTCCTATCAGCAAGGGTTTGTCCAATCTCGTGATTCGTACCGTTACTCCACCGTTCCGCTCTGTCGACGGCAGCGCACGTGGACCCGTTCCGCGACTACATCATCAACAGCATCACCTCCTCCTCGTCGTCCACCATCACCTCCTCTATCACCTCCGCCGTCGCCACTCAATCCGCCTGTGATGCATATTCCCGTAGACGCGGGCGTCAGTCGTCGCTTTACGCCGCCGTCCACCGCCTTGCTGCATGCCGCCCACCATCACCACCATCACCACCACCACCACCACGGCAGCAGCAGCAGCAGCAGCAAGATGACCAGCGACGCTCCTCCTTTGAGCCACCAAGACGGAGCTCTGATGGGCGTGAAGATGCGCGGCGCTGGAGGCGGTGGTGGAGGCGGCGGTGGAGGCGGCGGTGGAGGCGGTGGTGGAGGTGGAGGTGGAGGCGGTGGAATCGGAGGTGGAGCGCACGACCGGCCCATGGGGGACGTGTTGGCTGATCACCCGGGAGAGCTGGTGCGCACTGACAGCCCCAACTTCCTGTGCTCTGTGCTGCCCTCTCATTGGCGCTGTAACAAGACGCTGCCCGTGGCCTTCAAGGTGAGAGAGCCACGCAGAGAGAGAGAGACGAGGGGTGGGGAGGTTGGAGAGTGTGAGGGTGTGTGTAAGGGGAATAGCGGTGTGTGACAGAATGTGAGAGATAGAGAGTGTGTGAGAGAGAGAGAGAGAGATAGATGAATAGGGATAGAGACTGTGGCAGTGTGAGAAGGGGAGAGAGAGAGTGAGAGAGAGTTAGGTTGAGAGAGGGAGTGAGTGAGATCGGGAGAGTGGTAGAAGGACAGGGGAGAGATACCGAGAGATAGCATGGGAGAGTGAAACTGGAGAGACGGAGAGTTTGAGAGTGTGAGAAAGGGACGGGGAGAGATGCGGAGAGAGTGAGTTTGAGAGAGAGAGACAGAGTAAGTGGTGGAGCAGAGAGCGCGATTGAGATAATGTGTTGAATGTCGCTATTGTTAACTTTCAATCACATTTTTTTATGATCACTGTTGCATTATTTTTATAGCATTATTTTAGTAATTTCTAGAAAGGCTTAGTTTAGCCCGATTTTTTGATGTAGTAAAGAGTTAGACTTAACATTTTAATCTAAATAATATTATGATTGTTATTAGGATTGTTATTATGATCTAACATCAAAATGGGATTATTTTGCACAGTTTAGTACGCAGCAGCATAAACAAATGGTGCTTTTTCTGGAAGATTTTATTGTTTTTGTAGGGGTTGTCTCAATTTGCGTACAGGTAATTTTAAATGTATCTTGTAATTGTATTGTAGTGTAGCGGTTAGCGCGCTGAGCTATGAACCTGGCGACCCGGGTTCGATTCCCGCTCACGGCCAACACCAGTGACGATTATCTGAACCGGTCCCGGGCCTCCCCTAGGTTGACTCAGCCTCAAATGAGTACCTGGTGCGGTGTGTAAACGGTCGGGCGTGGTGCTGGCCACCCACCCCCTCGTGTACCGTTCCGGCCTTAATAGGTGCTCGCTAACAGCACTTGCCCCTACAGTCTGTTAAGGCTATACGGGGGATCTTTGTATTTGTGTCTGTGTGTGTATGAGAGAGTTTGTGTGTGTGTGAGAGAGTTTGTGTGTGTGTGAGAGAGAGTGTGTGTGTGTTTGTGTGTGTGTGTGTGTGAGAGTGTTTGTGTGTGAGAGAGACTGAGGTTATCGCTGACAGCACATACGACTGTACATCTGTGATGAAGAGCTTTGTAGCTCCTCGGAATCCTCGAGTATAAATACCGGGAATCTTCGTATTTGTCTTTGTGTGAGACTCAGCCTCAAATAAGTACCTGATGCGGTGTGTAAACATCGCCACTTGGGGAGACATTGGTTAGCTACGTACGATGGAAAAGAAGTTCAACATACATACAAAGGTGGTCGGGCGTGGTGCTGACCACCCACCCACTCGTGTGCCGTTCCGGCCTTCATAGGTGCCACTAACAGTCTGCTAAATGGTATACGGAGGATCTGTGTCTTTTGCGTGTGAGAGAGAGACAGAACCGGGTACCGTCTTTGACAGAGAGGGGCCTCGCCAATTACAACATCTGGCAGTTCACCTGCATGGGTTTAAGCAAGCCTGAATCTGCTGCTGATGATGAGACACCGAATGCCGAAACCAGTCCAGAGTTTCGCTTCGTGTTGAGCCAACGCTGCCGAACTGATGTCCGCTGCCAGAATGTGTCGAGAGGCAGGCGTGGGAAGGAGGCGATTCGTCGTCTGCGTTTCGATGCAGGTCGTGGTATTCTCCAGCGTGCTACTGGCCCTGTTTTGTACTGGGACTAGAGCCTTGTTGGTGTCGAGTCAACATCACGGGAATTCCCGTGGTTCCCCCGATCGCATTCCAGACCGTCTCTACCTGAGCTCTACCCGAGAGCGTTTGTAATGGGGAGCGGTGGCACGGTGGTTAGCACACTCTGCTACCAACCCGAGTTCGATTCCCGCTCACGGCCAAAACCAGTGACGCTTATCTGAACCGGTCCTGCGCCTCACCTAGGTCAACCCAGCTTCAAATGAGTACCTGGTGCGGTATTCTTGGTTCTTTCGGTAAAGTCACGTAGAAGGGAAACAATAAAATAATATAAAAATATAAAACATATTTTGTATTATTTTATTGTTTCCCTTCTACGTGGTGACTTTACCGAAAGAACCAAGAATATGAATCCCTGCAGTCACGAAAGCTTTAAATCAAAATTTACCTGGTGCGGTGTTCAGCAAACATTGGCACTAGGGAGACAAAGGCGGTCGGGCGTGCTGCTGGCCACCCACCCCCTCGTGTACCGCGCCGGGGTTCATAGTTTCTTGCTAACAGCACTTGCCCCAACAGTCTGTTAAGGCTATAAGGGGGATCTTTGTCTCTGTTAATGAGAGTGTTGCGGAGAGCGGTGGCGCAGAGATTAGCGCACTCCGCTGCGTGCCAGGTGACCCGAGTTAAATTCCCACTCACGGCCAACGCCAGTCAAGATGATCTGAACCGGTCTGACCTGGATCTCCCCAATGTCGACTCAGCCTTAAACACGAGTGCCCGGTGCAGTGTTAAGTAGACATGAGCATTGGGGAGACAAAGGCGGCCGGGCGTGGTGTTGAACACACCATCTCCCGCGTGTATGTTGAGGCTATAAGACGGATATTTGTGTGTGAGTGATGTGTGTGTTTATTTTAGCACTTGCCCCAACACTCTGTTAAGGCTATAAGCGGAATATTTGTCTTTGTTTAGTTTAGGAATGTATGTGGTCCGTGTGTTTCTGTGTGTGGGTGTATGAGACGTGTTGCATGTGGTTGGTGAGACGTGTTGCATGTAGTGTGTGGAACGGGTTGCATGTGGTTGGTGAGACGTGTTGCATGTCGTTCGTGAGACGTGTTGCATGTGGTTGGTGAGACGTGTTGCATGTAGTGTGTGGGACGTGTTGCATATAGTGTGTGGGACGGGTTGCATGTAGTTGGTGAGACGTGTTGCATGTAGTTGGTGAGACGTGTTGCATGTGGTTGGTGAGACGTGTTGCATGTGGTTGGTGAGACGTGTTGCATGTAGTTGGTGGGACGTGTTGCATGTGGTTGGTGAGACGTGTTGCATGTAGTGTGTGGGACGGGTTGCATTTCGTTCGTGAGACGTGTTGCATGTGGTTGGTGAGACGTATTGCATTTCGTTCGTGAGACGTGTTGCATGTGGTTGGTGAGACTTGTTGCATGTGATTCGTGAGACGTGTTGCATGTGGTTGGTGAGACGTGTTGCATGTGGTTGGTGAGACGTGTTGCATGTGGTTGGTGAGACGTGTTGCATGTGGTTGGTGAGACGTGTTGCATGTGGTTGGTGAGACGTGTTGCATGTGGTTGGTGAGACGTGTTGCATGTGGTTGGTGAGACGTGTTGCATGTGGTTGGTGAGACGTGTTGCATGTGGTTGGTGAGACGTGTTACATGTGGTTGGTGAGACGTGTTGCATGTGGTTGGTGAGACGTGTTGCATGTGGTTCGTAATCTGGGATGTATTGTATTGTATGAGACGGGTTGGTGTTTATGGTGTGTGTTGGGTGTATGTGTGAAGTGTACGTGTTGTGTGTGGAATGTGTCTGTATGTGCCTTTATAGGTGCTCGTTAACTGCACTGGCCCAAATAGTTTGTTAAGGTTATACGGGGGATCTTTGTCTTTGGTGTGTAAGCGGTAGTGTTGCGTTAGTGCGCTGTGCTACGAACCCGGCGACCCGAGTTCGATTCCCGCACACGGCCAACACCAGTGACGATTATCTGAACTGGTCATGGACCTCCCCTAGGTCGACTCAGCCTCAATTGAGCACCTGGTGCGGTGTGTAAACATCATCACTGGGGAGACAAAGACGGCCGGGCGTGGTGTTAACCATCCACCTCCTCGTGTGCCGTGTCGGCCTTCATAGGTGCTCGCTAACAGCACTTGCCCCACTAGTCTGTTCAACGGGGGATTTTTGTATTTGTGTGTGAGGTGTGTGCGGGGTGAATGTGTGGCTAGGAGATGTTGACTACCTCGCCTGGTATGCAGGAGTTCGTGGGTTCGATCCTGACGTTGACGCCCGCTGTATATTTGGAGTTTGCGTCTGTCTCTCTCCCCGTGGTTGTGAGAGATGTTGACTACCTCGCTTGGTATGCAGGAGTTCGTGGATTCGATCCTGACGCTGACGCCCGCTATATATTTGGAGTTTGCGTCTGTCTCTCTCCCCGTGGCTGTGAGAAATGTTGACTACCTCGCATGGTGTGCAGGAGTTCGTGGATTCGATCCTGACGCTGACGCCCGCTGTATATTTGGAGGTTGCGTGGATTTTTCTCCGGCTCGTCCGCGTTTTCCCCTCTACATTTTGCAACACGCCTTTAGAGTATTTAGTTGCGATACATTTACACAATGTAAGCCACTTCGTTGAACAGTCATTTGTGGACAGGTCGCTTCTGAAAAAGAGCTATGTAGCTCAGTGGGCCTTAGCTGGTAAAATACAAAAATAGTTGAGCTTAGTGTGTGGGGTGTGTGTGTGGCATGTGTGTGGGGTGTAGTGTGTGTGTGTGTTGTGTGTAAGAGATCTGGATGGTTGTGCATGGGGCGTGCATGAATTCCAACTGCAATCCGCTCGGAGTTGCACTGATTGCGTTGCCGTGGGTTGCCGCGAGATGCCATGAGCTGGCGGACGGATCTAAGTTGGATGTGTTGGGTTGTTCGCTATCGTAACAGCGCGGTGTCAGTAACAACGGAGAGCTGGGGCTCCATCAAATAATCAGAGTTTATCCCGGGAATTTGGGATAAGACATTCGATAACGATCGGAGCTAATGTATAATAATTATTAGAGGTAGGAGCGGTGGCGCAGTGGTTAGCGTACTGCACCACGAACCCAGCCGATTGTTTACCTGTGCACGTCTATGAGTGTGCGTGTGCATGAGTGTGCGTGCGTGCGCATGAGTACGTGCGTGTACATGTGGGGAGAGGTGGCTTAGTGGTTAGCGAACTTGGAAACTCGAGTTCCATTGCCGCCCGTGACCAACAACAGTGGCGAATATTTGAACCATTCCTGGGCTTCCCGTAGTTCGACTAAACATGAATACCTGGTGAGCGATGTACACATCAGCACTGGTGAGACAAAAGTGGCCGGGCGAGGTTCTGGCCGCCAACCACCTCGTGTGCCGTGCCGGCCTTCATATTTGCTCACTAATAGCACTTGCCCCAAAAGTCTGTTCATGCTGTCTGGAGGATCGTTTTTGTTATATATCTGTACGTGTGTATGTGTGTACCTGGAGCGGTAGCGCATTGATGAGCACACTTGGCTATTAATCCAGCTACACAGAGTTCGACTCCCGGCCACGGTTAACATCAGTGGCGAAGTGATATGTGAATCTCTTCTGAAACCTCCCATCGGTCAATCCAACGATAGAATGAGTACCTAGACAAAGGCTGTCGCGCCCTGGTGCTGGTCACGTACCCTGTTGTCCCTTCGTCTTCTCTAACAGCACCTGCTCCCGCTCACTTACGGCGTGGAGAAGTATGGCAACATAACCCGGGAGGCCTTCATCCAGCAGTCGATTGCATGGTCGGTGCGTTAACGCGGCCGCGGTGCGATGGCTAGCAGCGCACTGGACATGCACTTCAGGCGTCACCGTTCAATTCGATCTCCCGGCGCGGCGGGCAATTCAACCTGACCTCTGTCCACGAGCAGTGTGGTCAACGCGGCAGAGTAGACGAATTTGCCGTGGAAGAGTAGGCCAATTACGCTCTAGAGGTGAGGCGTGAGCAGTTGCAGGACTGTCATTCTGCCTGCCGTCGTACTCGTGATACACACAACTGTGCCACACAATGAAGGGTCGGTCGCTCGCGTGCACCTAGCCTGGTACGAGACGTTATTACCACCCCCCCCCCCCCCCTTGAAAAGGGCTGTGAAATCGAGCGTCTGTTGAATAAGCCACGTGGTGTTCCGTTCAACAGCGCAGAGCAATGGCGCAGTGGTTAGTGCACTGCGACATACTTCACCGTAATGGTCAGTGCGTGATGGATAAAACATCACCATAATTAACATCACTCACTCAGCTCTCTATCCCTTCTAGAGCATCACTAGAATTCACATCGCTCACTCAGCTCTCTATCCCTTCTAGAACATCACCATAATTAACATCACTCATTCAGCTCTCTAACCCTTCTAGAACATCACTAGAATTCACATCGCTCACTCAGCTCTCTATCCCTTCTAGAACATCACTAGAATTGACATCGCTCACTCAGCTCTCTAGCCCTTCTAGAACATCACTAGAATTCACATCGCTCACTCAGCTCTCTATCCCTTCTAGAACATCACTACAATTCACATCAGTCACTCAGCTCTGTAGTTCTTCTAGAACATCACTAGAATTGACATCAGACACTCGCTATCGGCGATGTGGCTTGACAATAAACACATCGCACGTTACAAATGACTCGCCGTCGCCACATCATAACAGAAGCCACGAGAAAAACATGCAATTAACATGTGTGTATGTTTGTGTATTATGCAAGTGTATGTGTGTGCAACTGTGTGTGTATGTACGCGAGAGTGGTAGTGCAGCGATTAGCGCTGCGCTATGAACCTGGCGACCCGAGTTCGATCCCCGATCACGGCCAACACCAGTGACAATTATCTGAACCGGTCTCGGGCCTCCCCTAGGTCGACTCAGCCTCAAATGAGTACCTGTTGCGGTGTGTAAACATTGCCACTGGGGAGACAAAGGCGGTCGGGCGTGGTGCTGGTCAACCACCCCCTCGTGTGCCGTTCCGGCATTCATAGGTGCTCGCTAACAGCACTTGCCCCGACAGTCTATTAAGGCTATATGGGGGATCTTTGTATGTACGCGTTAGCATGCTTGGTGACAGCACTTGCCCCAACAGCCTGGTAATGCCTATACGGGGGATCTTTGTCTTTTAATGTATACATGTATACATGTGCGCGACTGTGCGTGTATATATGTGTGTATATATGTATATATGTGTATATGTCCGTGCTAGTGTCTTGATGTATAATATCTCTGTGCAGCCGTGTTAATCGCACTTCCCATGAGCACGCTCGGCTACGTACGGTGCGAAAGAAGCTCAACATGCATGCATGTGTACAAGTGTGCGTATATGTGTGTATCTTTGCGTGCGTGCGTGTATGTATGTTTATATATGGGGAGCGGTGGCGCAGTGGTTAACGCTACGAACCCGGCGGCCCAAGTTCACGAGCAATAACATTTGGCCAACATCTGAATTGGTCTTGGGACTCCCCTAGATAGACTCCGCCTTAAATGTGTACCTGGTGTGATGTGTAAGCTTTGCCATTAGGGAGACAAAGGCGGTCGGGCATGGTGCCCCGCTCCCGCTTACCTCGTGTGCCGTGTCGACCTTCATAGGTGCTCGCTAACAGCAACTTGCCCCAACAGTCTGTCAAATGATATATGGGGGAACTTTATCTTTGTTGCGAGTGTGCGGATGAATGTGTGCAACTGTGCGTGTGTGTATATATGTGTGTGTGTGTGTGCGCGAGTGTTTATATTTACGTTTATGTATAGGTGCGCGCGTGTGTGTGTAACTGTGAATGTGTGGGAGAATGGGCGTTTCTCTGTATGTACGTAGGGAGCGGTGGTGCAGCGGTTAGCGCGCTGCGCTATAAATCTAGCCACCAGGGTTCGATTCCCGCTCACTGCCAACACCGGTGACGATTATCTGAACCGGTCCTGGGCCTCCCCTAGATCGACTCAGCCTCTAATGAGTACCCGGTGCGGCGTGTAAACGTCGCCACTGGGGAGACAAAGGCGGTCGGGCGTGGTGCTGGCCACCCATCCCCTCGTGAGCCGTTCCGGCCATCATAGGTGCTCGCTAATTGCACTTTCCCCAACAGTCTGTTAAAGCTATACTGGGGTCTTTGTCTTTGTACTTTAAGTGCACACACGTGCGTATACTGCACATGCAAGCGTGTACTGTATGCATATGTTTATATGTGTTTGTGTGTATGTACACATGTGTATACTGTATTGTATATGTACGATCAACGTGTGTATATGCATGTATGCATTATATATAATCCACTGCTGAATGAATGGATCTCCGTGCCGTGTCGGTCATTGTCTGATCATACGTTCATATATCACTCGCCACTGATGATAGCCGTGGACTGGAGTCGAACTTGGGAGACTCGGGTTCATAGCGATAGCGCGCACGTAACACAATCTCTCAGCCGCGAAAATCGTACGTGTGTGTGTATGTGTGAGTGCCTATGTATTATGCATGCGACTGTGTGTCTACATATATATGTGTGTGTGTGTATTATGCATATGTTAGTGCAGTGATGTGTATGTATGAGGCGTACGCATTGTTGTGTGAGCTATGCATGACGCATAACGTTGTTCACGCACACATTGTGTACACACATTGTGGGAGTGGTGGGGCGGCGGTTAGCGCACTTCACTACGAACGAACCCCGAGTTCGATTCCCGCTCACGACAAATAGCAGCGGTGAAAGTACGAACCCTAGGTGGGCTCAGCCGTGACCGAGCGCCTGGTGCGGTGTGTATGACATCCACCAATGGGGAGTTTAAGGAGTCCGAGCGTGGTTCTGGCCCACCACCACGTGTGCCGCGAACAGCGCTTGCCCCGACAGTCTCTTCAGGCTCTTTGGTTCTATTCGGTAAAGTCACGTAGGTATGTGTGTGGCGATGCGGGAGCGGTAGCTACGAACCCGGCCACCCGGGGTTCAATTCCCGCTCACTTGCCAACACCCAGTGACGATTATCTGAACCGATTATCTGAACCGATCCTGGGCCTCCCCTAGGTCGACTCAGCCTCAAATGAGTACCCGGTGCGGTGTGTAGTAAACATCGCGACCCGGGAGACAGAGGCGGCCGCCCTTGGTGCTAACCACCCGCCACGTGGCTTGCCGTGCCGGCCTTCACAGATGCGACTCGCTAACAGCACTTGCCCCTGCAGCCTGAGTAAGGCTATAGTGGAATATTTGTCTTTGCGTGTGCGTTTGTGTCGCTCGTTCCTGCCCGCCTTGACCCTGTCTGCTCCGCCCCACAGGTGGTGGCACTCGGCGACGTTCCGGACGGGACCCTGGTGGGAGTCATGGCCGGGAACGATGAGAATTACTCGGCCGAGCTGCGCAACGCGTCTGCGGTCATGAAGAATCAAGTGGCGAGGTTTAACGACCTCCGCTTCGTGGGAAGGAGCGGCCGAGGTGTGTGATCGACCACGTGGTGCACTGGGTATTCTAGAAAGAACTAATCGATGTTTTAATATATATATAAGCCCGGCGTTCTGTTTGTCCATTTGCCAGTCAACGAGATTACAAGAGCCTTTCAGAAAGGCTGGATCAAAAAGTTATAGAAAGCGGACCCCCCCCAAAGTTGATCCAACAGGACAACAGTCAGTATTATCTGCACACATTGGGTGGGGCAGGACATCAGTGGGGGCAACGGGCGAGGCGCAAAGCGTCGAGAAGCTCTCCGCAGGAGTCAGGGTAAAGGGGCCGCAGGCCGAGACAATTCTAGTTACACAAATTGCCCATCACGCTAACAGCGGTCAATCTCGCAGTAGCGCCTCTTGGCTAGCCATCGAGCTAAGACGGTCACTGCATCACGCACTTACAGCTGCGCATTCTATGGCCGTCTGGGACGCTCCCCCTTCCGATATTAGCAAGCCGTTGGAGATATGCGCTTTCAAATCTCGATTGAATCTCCGATTAGCACGGTTGGCTATATACGATGCGAGAGAAGTTCCAGATGCACTTGTGTGCTCCACCAATCGCGTGGTGCGCTGCGTGTTCCGCCGACCACGGTTTTCACGAACCACGTGATGCACTGGGTTCCAGCCACCGCGTGCGTTCTCAACACCGCACGTCTCGTGTTGTTACCAAGTGTCCTGCCACTCAATCGACCACGTGTTCAACCACAATGCACCACGTGTCTCACCGCGTGTTCCAACTATTGACGTTACCACTTTGGAAGCTACTAAAACTATTTTTTTTATTTTACCATAGTAAGGCAACGGTGAGCTATATATAGCTCTTTTTTTCCAGAAGCGACCTGGCCACAAATGAGAGCTCAACGAAGTGGCTCGTCATATTCTAGATGTGGAGCGGGGAAAACAGGAGGACTCGGAGAAAAATCCACGCAGGAGAGAGAGACACACACACAAACCCCAAATATAGAGCAGGCTACAGGGTCTGGATCGAACCCACGACCTCCTGTATATCAGGCGAGGGAGTTAACATCTCACTACCGCGGCAGGCGGAAAGAGAGCAGAGCAGAGGAAAGCAAGAGGTTGAGCAGAAGGAAACACCAAAAGTGGGGAAAAAAATTATCTCGGCGACTCGAGGTGTGCACGTTGCTCCGGTTGCGTGGGAAGAGACACAGAGAGACAGAGAGACACAGAGAGACAACAACACAGAGACACAGAGAGACAACAACACAGAGAGACACAGAGACACAGAGAGACAACAACACAGAGACACAGAGAGACAACAACACAGAGACACAGAGAGACACAGAGAGACAACAACACAGAGACACAGAGAGACAACAACACAGAGACACAGAGACACAGAGAGACAGAGAGACAACAACACAGAGACACAGAGAGACAACAACACAGAGACACAGAGAGACACAGAGACACAGAGAGACAACAACACAGAGACACAGAGAGACACAGATAGACAACAACACAGAGACACAGAGAGACACAGAGACACAGAGAGACAGAGAGACACAGAGAGACAACAACACAGAGACACAGAGAGACAATAACACAGAGAGACAACAACACAGAGACACAGAGAGACACAGAGACACAGAGACACAACAACGGAGAGACAACAACACAGAGACACAGAGAGACACAGAGAGACAACAACACAGAGAGACAACAACACAGAGACACAGAGAGACAACAACACAGAGACACAGAGAGACACAGAGACACAGAGAGAAACAGAGACACAGAGAGACGACAACACAGAGACACAGAGAGACAATAACACAGAGAGACAGAGAGACAACAACACAGAGACACAGAGAGACAACAACACAGAGACACAGAGAGACACAGAGACACAACAACACAGAGACACAGAGACAACAACACAGAGACACAGAGAGACACAGAGACACAACAGCACAGAGACACAGAGACACAGAGAGACAGAGAGACACAACAACACAGAGACACAACAACACAGAGACACAGAGACACAACAACACAGAGAGACAACAACGGAGAGAGACAGAGACACAGAGAGACAACAACACAGAGACACAGAGAGACAACAACACAGAGACACAGAGACACAGAGACACAGAGAGACAACAACACAGAGACACAGAGACACAGAGACACAACAACACAGAGACACAGAGAGACAACAACACAGAGAGACAACAACACAGAGAGACAGAGACACAGAGACACAGAGACACAGAGACACAACAACACAGAGACACAGAGAGACAACAACACAGAGAAACAACAACACAGAGACACAGAGAGACAACAACACAGAGAGACAACAACACAGAGAGACAGAGACACAGAGACACAGAGACACAACAACACAGAGACACAGAGAGACAACAACACAGAGAGACACAGAGAGACACAGAGACACAGAGAGACACAGAGAGACAACAACAGAGAGACACAGAGAGACAACAACACAGAGACACAGAGAGACACAGAGACACACAGAGACACACAGAGAGACACAGAGAGAGGGTTTATTGACGTGAACAAATCTAGCGTACGGAGACCGAACGAGACAATAAATTGTAGGTTGGCGAGGATGATGATCATGATGATGATGGATCGCGTCGAGAGATTTCCCAACCTTCCGAACTCGCATGCCATCCGAGCTACGCCAGTCGGGTACGGCAAGAGGGTTCGTGACACCGCCTGTGTAGCGGACCCTACTACTCCACAGGGGGTGTAGTAGGGTCCGCGTGTGCGAGTGCGCGTGTCCGTGAGCACGTGGAGAAGATATAAGTGCAGCGGTCAGCACGCTGCATCACCGGGTTCGATTCCCGCTCACGGCCAACATCGGTGGCGATCATCGGAACCGGTCCCGCGCCTCTCCTAGGTCGCCTCGGCCTCAAATGAGTACCTGGTGGAGTGTTTAAACATCGCGACTCGGGAGAAAAAGGCGGCCGTGCGTGTCGTCGGCCAGCCACCGCCTCGCGTAGCGTGCCGGCCTTCATAGGTGCTCGCTTAAAGCACTTTGTGCCAACAGTCTGCTAAGGTTACACGGGGGATGTTTGTCTTTTGGGGGTGAGCATGTGGGGAGCGGTTACCGCAGTGCGCTGCGAGTAGCCGGCGACACCTGTCACGGTCCTGGGATTCCCGTAGGCAGACTCAGCCTCAAATGAGTACCTGGTGCGGTGTGTAAACATCGTCCCTTGGGGGAGACAAAGGCGGGTGGCGTGTTGCTGGCCACCCCATCTCCTCGTGTGCCCTGCCGGCTTTCACAGATGTGCGCTACTCGCTAACAGCACGTGCACCAACCAACAGTCTCATATTCTTGGTTCTTTCGGTAAAGTCACCACGTAGAAGGGAAACAATTTAATAATAATAATTTTTAAAAACCGCCACTTTTTCAAATTTTCTTGCTGTGGTTTTCACACCTGATGATGATTGCTTGTGCTGCAGTCGAAACGTCGTGAAAATTTTATTGTTTTATATTTTTTATCATTATTTTATTGCTTCCCTCCTACGTGGTGACTTTAACAAAAAAATGTAACCAACAGTCTGTTAAGGCGACACGGGCAACCTTTATACTGGTAGGAACGAAGTTGTAAACTGAGTGTACCAGCCTGCAATAGATTAATGTGTCCGTCCGTCCGTCCCCTTTCAATACTTTTTAACTAACGAAGTGAAATCTCGTGCTGTTGGGGTGTAAAAATAAAATTGCGCAAAATTCCAATGTTCCTACCAGCCCACCCTGCAGGGACCTGTTCTTTGTGGGTGAGCAGACTGGCAGAGTGTGCCGGGTGAGTCGCGTGCGGGTGGGTGGGGGGGGGAGATGAGAGGGTGAGGATGGCCCCCCTCTCTGTGGTTTTGAGAAGTTCCTCTGATCCGCTCCGGCGCGGTTATGTGGCGATGCGGTTCGCGGGCTGCGGCGTCTGTAAGTGCGGCACACACGTGCTCTGCGGTGATTGTGGTTTTGGCTGCAGCTGCTGCTGCTGCTGCTGCCGCCGCCCCGGGTGGGTGGTGGCGCGGGACTTCAACCGACGGCCCACACGAATTCGATTCCGGGCCACGGGCAACGTCAGCGTCAATGTGTGTGTGTGTGTGTACGTGTACGTGTGCGTTTCTCCGTGGGAGCGGTGGCGCAGCGGTTAGCGCGCCGCGCTAAGAACCCGGCCACCCAAATTCGATTCCTGTTAATAACAAAAATTCAAGCTTTCGTGACTGCGTAAATTACTCATTGGTTTTTTTTCTTCGGTAAAGTCACGTATGTAGAAATACCATAAAATTATGTTCAAATAAATCGGTCACGACGTTTCGACCGCATCACAAGCGATCTTCATCAGGTGTAAAAAAACAAATCACGAAGGAGCATATAGGGTGACATCAACGCAACACATAGAGAGCGCCAAACTGCACGGAGGTAAATACAACAAGAAGATGAGAGACGAGAATTCAACAAACCTAAGAAAAAATCATGTGATGCAAAACCAGTCAGGCCAAAAACACAGTTAGACAATTGCCTGGCGGACCACGAATTTCAGAAGAGTGCTAAATTTCGTGTTCATCCTCTCGACTGAACATACCAGCATAGACAGAGTGAACAAATACGAGGTACAAGTCAGCAGAAATACATATACAGGGAAAGACAGACAGAGAAGCAAGAAAAGCGGGCCGGCGGGATGAACAGACAGAGGCTTAAAATAAGCAGTAGAGGTGGGGGGAGGGGCCGAAGAGTAGATGATGCGGGAGAGGGAGAGGCCGAAGAGAGCAAGCGACATGGTAGCAGAGGAGGGGGGAGAAAGCAAGGGGCACAATAAGTTTAGGACAGAATTGCAAAGGTAACGTCCCCGTAGAAGTGTGTTAATAAAGAATTAAAGCTTTCGTGACTGCGTAAATTACTCATTGGTTTTTTTTTTCGGTAAAGTCACGTATGTAGAAATACCGTAAAATTATATTGAAATAAATCAATCGCGACGTTTCGACCGCAACACAAGCGAT